CAGTTTTTTAGATTGACAGGGTTTAATAACACAAACAAAAGGAGAGAAATAAAGATTGGTCTTTCAATAAATTGTGTTGATTTTGTCTTTTGAATTGTTTGTCTGAAGTCAAGTAGCTAGAACTGTTACTTATAGTTTGAATGATACAGTCTGGTTATAATGTGTGGAGGAGGCATCACAGGTCCAAAACAAGATATTTTGTTTTGGTAACATTTAAAAAAAAAAAAATCTCTTTTCCACTACACTATCTTGAATACTTTAGTTTTTACGTCACTACATTTATCTAACAGCTTTAACATTGTAAAGGTGTCACTTCGGACTAATTATGACAGCATGTCCTACTCAGAGCCCTAGAGTCTCTAGGGCTCTGGTCCTACTATTTTGAGAGTTTGAACAAACCAGACCTTCATCTGTTAATGTAGAAAATAGTCAGCACATTACACCATTATGAAAGTAATAATTAGTTAGCTTATTGTTCAAATGAGCTCCAACTACAACAGTTAAGTCAACTCGTGCATCGGTAATAACAATAAATCAAATGATATAATATAATAGTATAACTTGTGTCTACTTTAACAACACTTTCCTAATGATACTAGCATACTTTTACTAAAGTAACATTAACATGTTTAAATGCAGGGCTTTTGTAAGAGAGTATTTCGTATAGTGTAGCATGGTCTACTTGACTTATCTAACCGAAGTGATCGTTACGTTACTTTGCAAACCGTCACCCCCAACCAACCAACCCACACACACACACACGTTGTGATTCACTTCAATTAATGGTAACGGAGCTTGCTAACAACAAGGCTACTTCACTCATTTAGCTAGCTAATGTAAGATACAAATGCTGTCGAGCCCTCACTGCTTGTAAAATAAAGAGCACAAACTGACAACTTACCCGAGCGGCGAGCCACGCTGTTCTCCGTCATTTTTCTCCCGGGTTGTTGTGATCACATGACTGACAAAGCCGTGCTCTGATAGGCCAGAAGTCGGAGTTGCATTAGGGCTCGATTGCTTATCCTGTCTGCGTAGCCCGGATGATGCTGCATCGCAATTTTGGACATCGAATTTTATACATCGAATTTTTTGACATCGACATTTTTGACGTCGAATTTTTGGGATCTGAATTTTACGGTGGCCCTGAAGTGCAAGACACTACAGCATTTCAGAAAACACCACAGCATTTCACAAAACACAACAGCATTTCACAAAACACTACAGCATTTCACAAAACGCCACAGCATTTCAGAAAACACCACAGCATTTCACAAAACACAACAGCATTTCACAAAACACAACAGCATTTCAGAAAACACCACAGCATTTCACATTGGACGGAAAGGGTATTCCTTTAGGGAGAACACTTCTTGTTTGTGATTGGACAGAGCCAGCCAGAGAAGCACTGCTGTGATTGGTTGTTTTTGCTGCCAGTCAAGAAATGACGCTACGTGATTGGTCAACACCCGACAGCGAAATATGTCCCAACACATCAGCCGTTAGCACACACTCAGAGCTCACAGCTCCTCATATCTGTTCAGAAACTGGACAAAAGTTAAACATGTACAAACCACAGACTGTCTGTGTCATGGCGAATACAGTCACTGCTTTATTTATGTCTGTATGACATTGTTGTGAGAGTGGACGGAGCAGCTACAGGTTAGTTTAGCCTGATGGATCCGATTCCATTCAGAAAACACGCATTTTAAAAGCTTTTCGCCTGCCGTCTTATCTGCAGACTTGTCAAAGCGTTAATTCATGGTTTTTACTAACCGTTATCAGTATGTAGTTACTTTGGCATCACTTTGAAACCTGTATTACAATTAAATCACGGTCAAATATGTTCATTTTGTTGTAGTTGGTATCTCCCATAGGATTTACTTGGAGATACGCCCCGCCCCCTCTCAGCGCCTCTTGTTTGAATGACAGGAGCAAACACAGCTGACAGTCGCGGTGAAACTCGAGCGATTAGAGCGATGCGAATATTGGGTGGTCTACCATAGTATTTACATGGAGATAAGCCCCTTAAAAACCATGAATTAATAAAGCATTAATTCTGTGTTTACTCCTGTCATTCAAACAAGACGCTGGAGAGGGGGCGGGCCGGCCGTATCTCCATGTAAATCCTATCGGAATCGGATCGATCAGGCTAAACTAACCTGTAGCTGCTCCGTCCACACTCACAACAACGTCATACAGACATAAATAAAGCAGTGACTGTATTCACCATGATATAGACAGTCTGTGTTTTGTATATGTTGAACTTGTGTCCAGTTTCTGAACAGATATGAGGAGCTGTGAGCTCTGAGTGTGTGCTAACAGCTAACGGCTGATGTGTTGGGCCAATCACGAAGCGTCATTTCTTGACTGGCAGCAAAAACGAAATGCTGTGGTGTTTTCTGAAATGCTGTGGTGTTTTGTGAAATGCTGTGGAGTTTTCTGAAATGCTGTGGTGTTTTGTGAAATGCTGCGGCGTTTTGTGAAATGCTGTTGTGTTTTGTGAAATGCTGTTGTGTTTTGTGAAATGCTGTGGAGTTTTCTGAAATGCTGTGGTGTTTTGTGAAATGCTGCGGCGTTTTGTGAAATGCTGTTGTGTTTTGTGAAATGCTGTTGTGTTTTGTGAAATGCTGTTGTGTTTTGTGAAATGCTGTGGAGTTTTCTGAAATGCTGTGGTGTTTTGTGAAATGCTGCGGCGTTTTGTGAAATGCTGTTGTGTTTTGTGAAATGCTGTTGTGTTTTGTGAAATGCTGTTGTGTTTTGTGAAATGCTGCGGCGTTTTGTGAAATGCTGTTGTGTTTTGTGAAATGCTGTTGCGTTTTGTGAAATGCTGTGGTGTCTTGCACTTCAGGGCCACCGTAGAATTTAAACATTCAAATTGTTTTCACTTGAATTTTTACATTTTTATTTCACATAGGTAAATTCGGAGCAAAAACATTTAGATACATGATTTTCAAAGTAATTATTTTCAATGCTATAAATTCGGTGTCTAATACAATTAAAATACTTCTGTCTCTTGTTTGCTTCCATAGTCTTTGTCAAAACATCAACACTGTAACATATTCACTTTCTGTGGATTATATTAGAACTTTTATTTGTAAATCTAAGTTTAGCTTTTAAGTTTAAACACATTGTACCTTAAAGCCTATAGTTTTGTTTTCAACAACTAAAAGGTACCTCAGTCTGCTTCTGATATGACATGTCACCCCCCTCTTCATGTGTCGGTACTGTATGTGTTTGCTTCTTCAATTCTGCCTGCCGACTATCATACTGCATATGGTATACTAACATATGCAGTAGTTTACCCACTACTTGGTGGCCACTATCAAACTGTTTATTCAAATTTAAAAATATGTTTAATAGCTTTCCAACCATTACAGCCTGCAGGGCAGACCCGTTTTCTCTCTGTGTCCGGTACTCACACACAGCACATGTTAGCTGAGCTTAGCTAACAGCTATGCATGAGCCCTGCTTCTTGCTTAAAGATAGCATGCAGAGCATCTGAACTGTAAGTGTAGGAAAAATATGTATGATTTATATTCCATGAGGAAAAAAAGACTTAGTCTGCACACTGATTTCTACAAATATCCTACATTTCTTCAAGATCCTCTCAAGGTCAACATTAATGTGATTAAAGGTGGCTGTATACAGGGCGGTCTAAGCCATTACCCAACCCATCAAGAATTGTTGGCAACCTTTATTAAATCTCAGTTTGGGAAGATGAAGTAACATGTCCTCATTGTGTATCTTTTATTGGAAAATATATTCACAGTTTTTTGCTGATTGGCCTCAAAGTAATACAAATAATGAGCTCAGCAAACAGAAAGCTTACCTTTAGGGAATGTGTGTATGTTTCAGCCACAATTATTAAAAAAGAATGCACACCAATTTAGCTTTAACCATAGTATTTAATAATAATGTTATATATGAATGCTCCTGTTTTGGTTAAGTTAACACTAAAATATGTTGCGAGCAATAAATAAATAAAGTCACCTTTCCTCTCAGTTCTTCTGTACTAGTCTGACATGTTTTTGCAAAGTATATTAAATAATAAAACTGCACCAATACATGCACTATTATTGTGAGTATTTTTGAAAGAACAAGAACATAAACAGAATTTGTATTTATGTAAAGCCTGTTTAGTTGAAATTCACTAAGGTTACCAACAATTCTGGAGGGCACAGAACATGAACAAAATGATACTTCTGCCACATAAACAGAAATAACTCTTATTATCCCTTCACCATTACTACACAAAACAACATTTTCCTAAAAGAGGCCTTCACAATATTAAAAATCATAATCTCTTCATGTTTTTTAACAAATGTTTGGGAGCTTGCAATATTCAGTGTACAGACTTCCTCTCATTTTCCTTTATACTGCCTTGCTGAGGGGGGGTGAGTTCTACCCTCACCTCCTGGCTCACACCTGCTCACCATATGCAGTTTTTTAAGAGAAACACGACACCTCTGTGTTCTGTGACCTTTAACATCTCCTCTTGTTGGCATTGATGATGCACAGTAATCTGTGAGCCAGTGAAACAGTAATCAGAAGAAATCCTCTGCTGCTTTCTTTCTGTTATCATCAGCCAGACAAGGGGGATTCAGAAATGCGTGCAAACTCATAATCTCCAAATGCTTGGCTCAATCATGGATCATGGATGACAGACAGCTGATGCAGTCTGGTGTCGGGTTTCCCTTAAATAATAATTGTATTCCATGACCTCAGCATGTCATTGAGGAAAGGCAGGCTTTATTAAAGTAGTAGCTGAACTAACGAAAAGCAAAAGAGAGCAATTTTCAAGAGATTTAAAAAAATGGCAGACTGTTCTTACGATTTCGTTTTTCAATCTGGATGATTCATTTTTTTTGGCTATTTGTCACCTTTAATTTCTTTCCATGTTCTTCACTTCCTTTTCCTCTTCCTTTCTTTCACATTTTATTCAAACATGTTCTATCATTGTTTCCCTTCCATCTGTTCTGACTTGTTTTTTCTTGTTGAAGGACCTGGATAAGACCCAGACTGGGATCATGCGTCACCACACGAGCATCAGTGAGCTGAAGAGGAGCTTCATGGAGTCGGTGCCAGAGCCTCGGCCCAGTGAGTGGGACAAACGTCTGTCCACCAACTCGCCTTTCCGCACAGTGAGCATCAACGGCCAGCTGCAGCCAGCGGTGAGTCCTGCTGCCTGGGGAGGAAACTCTGCAGATATGCTGTTGTTTCTCCTCACTAGACACCAGAACATACACTGTCAGCTCAATACATAGAGCCTGACAGTATAAAGCTTCCATGTTGTTAAAAGTGTGTTTTAATGAGATAGCTATGCTAGCTTGCCCTGCTTCAAACCTTAAGGTGTGTCTCAAATCGCCTACTTCTGCACTTACATGTGCTATTTTGAGTAATGCAAAGTATGGCAAAATACACAACGGTCATGGTCAAAGTTCAGTGTGGATCAATGGACACTAGAAATAAGAGTTATGTGGGTTTTTTGAAAATGTAAGTAATGTAGTCTACACTATACTTCTATCACAAAGAAGCCACCATTCATTGTAGAGTGGTAAATTAGCAGTGGCGAACCGTGTCTAACACAACTGGACCTTCTGTAGACACACACACACACACATACCCCCCGCCCCCCCCCCCCCCTCCCCTCCGCGGCATTATAATGTCCGTCTTTCCACTGAATTGTCGTCTTGAAAAGGGTACTCACAACAATTCCGCAACAACTTCATCTTCGCCTGTTGCACTTGTCATTTCAACGTTAAAAACAATAAAATGGCATGAATTGCTTCGTCGCATTCTAGATCCTCTGTCTCGAGCCAGTTAACTAGCGGGCCTTCTAGAATACCCTGGAACCGAGGGAAACTCTGAAAGAATACGCCCATTGGCTACAAATCAATATATGATTGGTTGATCAAACTGTCAGTCCAAACGTACGCTCTCATTCAGTTCAACGGCCAGGGCATTCTATCAAGGATGTAGAATACCTTGTTGAAGGATATTCTACCCAGAGACCCAGAACAAGATCTGATTGGTTGCTTTCTTTTCTAACACAAAACCACTGAAATGCGTAGTGCATGGTCCGAGAAGGACAAACAAATCAACGTAACACTCTAATATTACAGATCAATAACACAGATACGATTCTCATTTATTCCTTTTATATACATTTTATTACATTTTATTTATATAATTAAATCGATTTTTTATTTGTTTTATCTGAGTGTTCCAGGGTATTCTCTGAATACCTTGAAGGCCCTGACGGTTCGCCACTGGTAAATTAGCAGTCTAATGATTTGTTACCACAAAGGATCGTGGCTAACAGCTAACAGCCGCAACAGTGAGGGCACAGCAGCCATGTGCGATTTGAGACGACACTTCACAAAATTCACGCACTGCTTTAGTGTTCACAGTCTTTACTGCATTACTGAGATATAGTTTAAGTAAAGGCAGTGTAGTTCACCTGAACAAAGTCTTGGTTTAAATATGGTATGCTGGCCAACAAAATAGCTGTATTGTATTATTTTAAATTAATATTTACAATTCCCGGTTTTCATTCAGAATGCTCTATGCATATTCTGGAAGTCCCAGGTTATATGTTCTGGGATTCACCTTAACTGTGAGCTCAGATTAGCAGTCATCACAGTTTAATGTTTGCACTTAAACTCCTGGACTGAGCAGATCAGTACCCTCAGATTTTGTATTTGTTCATTTCATTTACAAATCTATGCTCATAGATTCTCTCCCCTTTTTCTCTTTTACACAGTTAAGCCCTGCTTCCCACAGCATCTGTTTTTTAAAACATAAAAGTCTGGGCCCGTATTCACAAATAATCTGTAATACTCTTATAGAGCTACTAACATATCCTCAGATTCTAGTAAGGAGTCAAAGTTAGGGAGTGATTTAGGGTCTGTGTTAACTTGAGAGTAGGATGCTCCGAGGTGTGTGTGTGTGTGTGTGTGTGTGTGTGTGTGTGTGTGTGTGTGTGTGTGTGTGTGTGTGTGTGTGTGTGTGTGTGTGTGTGTGTGTGTGTGTGTGTGTGTGTGTGTGTGTGTGTGCGTGCATGTGTGCGTGCTTGCATGAATGCTTGCGTGTGTGTGCAGGGCCTTTAAACACACATTTGTTTAAAAGCAGGCATAATGTAAACATAAAACCAAATTAAATATTAAAGGTATTCAAATTAGATTTTAAATAGTCCCTCCATGTGATAGAAACTTAGAGGTTTAATAAACTATTTAAGAGCATTTCCGTTTTTATTGTTTTTATATTTACATATTACCAAATAAAGATTTAGTCAGAATAGAATACAAAGTGTTAATCAGGTCTTAGCAGTCTTCAGGAGCCATAATGTACATTCCCGAGGTTTTAAATGATAATATGTACAGACTCGCATGGTCTTAGTATGTCTAGTATTAAGCATTATTATAATACATATATTGTTGTTGTGAAGAGTATGGTGACGTCCACAATGCACTCTGTCAGCTGTACACCGATCCTCCACTTAGTGGTGCTGTTGGCTTTCTTCATATCATTGCACTGCTTCAGCAAGACTGTAGCTGCAGTCACACACTGAACACACCAGACACAGCTGGTGGATGGATATTTGGTGTGTGTGTGTGTGTGTGAGAGTGTGTGTGTGTGTGGGGGGGGGTGTCCACAGTACCTGCATACAGAGTAGTTGATGGCGTGTCTGAGGTAAAGGTATTTAATGTGGTGCTTGGCGGAATATGCTGCAGTAGATCATTACTGTGCAGCGTTTCTTTAGGAGCAGTATATTGAATGGCACCTGGAGGCTATGGCCTGTATGACTGATGACACGCAGCTTCACCAGATTGTGCTTAGCGCGACCACAAGGGATCAGTATGCTTCAAACCAACAAGTTTGGATTAAGTGTTTCGGAACATGTAGCGAATGACTACTTTCATATTCCGATGTAAAGCTTGCAGCCACCAATAAGGATACAAAGTGATGAAACTACAAATGGATGCAAAGGCCCATACTTCTCCTCTAAAGCTACCTTCACATGACCAGCGGGAAAACTGCTCCCTGCTGATGTTGCCGTGGTTTCCCTGTGGAGAGAGCAGTGCCACCAGACTAAATTGCCAATACGCTCAAAGTTTTAATTATTCTGACCTACCAATCAGATAACAGCTCTAAAACGGCACATCCTAAAAGGTTTTTTTGTACCTATAGTACTACCAAACAAAGTAGGCATTTTCTTTGTGCCACTGCATCTCACAAATAAACAAGGACATTTAATAATCAGAGCCCGCAATAAAATAAATCAAGTTTCACTTTAGTTTTTCAAGTAACTCAACTCTAACTCACTAGTCACTCACTCAGCATCATCAGACAGGTTTTTAAGAATATGAGAATGTCCACATTTCCAGGTAAGCTGGGATGTTTGGGCATTTACAATATCCCCTGCTCTGGAAAAAACTCTCTCGCTTGGTACTGATGTTGCTGGGACAGCAGTGGTCGCGTTAACCGAATATTTTATTTAACAATGACGGAAAAATCTGAAAGCAGTCTGTCATTTTGACAGATTAGAACAAACTCGGAACAGCGCCTACGTTTCCCCGCAGCGAGGCTCTGGTGTTATGCATGCCCCCCAAAAGGAAATCATATCGTTTCCAAACCATACTTTGCCGTACAGATCAATACATGTCTGGGAGGTTTTGCTTTACGCTGTGTGCGCTCCCGCGAGGTGCATGCACACACGGCATAACACCGCCTTCCCCCCCGTTGACAGTTCAAGAGCGTGCTCTCTCGTGAACTGTTCAGACCCGACGGGTAATAAGGGATTATGACGGACATTTTACGATCCTGTCTGTCAAAATGACGGACAGCGAAAAAGTCTAACGCCACCTCAGTGGGACGGAGAGATATGCTTGTCCTTTTGTGTTCTGTTGTTTTATGTTCATGATGTAACCTACTTGCTGCCATGTTGGACAGGTATCCCTTGAAAAAGAGATCGATGATCTCAAGAGGCGCATTCACACCGCAGTACTTTTCCCACAAAGGTTCATGAGAACTTAGTTCATGAGAACTCTTTAGTTCTCATGAACTAAGTACAGATCGCGTTCACACCGGAATAAGTCCCTGGGGGAGGATTAGGCAAATGAAGCCGCTGACGTCACTTGTTCTTCTTCTGCTTTGGGTTTACTGGCAGGCCGCAAACCACTTCACGGCGTATACTGCCGCCCAAAGTCCCCGGCCGGAAGTCCCCGGAGTTGGGGACTGGCTTCAGTAGAAGCTGCTGGGACTCCCAGCTAAAATGGCACAAAAAACACATCTGAAAAACTGATGATTTTATTATTTTATTTGTTTGAAGCATACTAGATCTCTTGTAGGATCTCCCCCCCCCTTTAACTCTAATGTCTTGGTGTCATGTCTGTGAATGGCTGCGGCTGCTTTGTCATTGTGCTTGATCTGCTGATTAATCCCATGGCTGGGTTCATCCCGATAATGTGTTTGCATGACTCTTGTGCCTGATATGATCAGTGAAGGACTGAAGAGAAAAAGAACACAAGATAACAAGCTACAGACCAATGACTAGAAGCCAGAGCACTGACCCCCCCCCCTCCTCCCTTCCTCCTCATCTGTCTCACCCTCCACCCTTCTCTGTATCTATCCCTCCCTGGATGTCTTTATGTGTTTTTCTGTGTCTATCTCTTGTACCTCTGTCCTCATGTTCTCCCATTCCCCTTTAAAGACTGGCCCTGCTCCCCCAGTCAGATCCCCCCCACCAACTCCATCCTCTTCCACTCATCCTCCTCCATCCTTCCCTGCGCCTTCCAACAATGACAATGAAGGTCAGAGAGGATCTCCGTCCTCCGACCTGCCAGTGTTGCCCTCTGGCTCTCGGCTCACCTCTACCCACGACTTAAAGACACAGTTTCTATCCTAGACTCGAGGTCATGCACAAAAATATTCCTTTATATAACTCCAAAATCTAGCCATAACAGCACTTTTCTTGCTGAAAGCAAGAAAAGTGCCATTTTAGTAGTTTCATATTATTGCTGAATGCTAAGAATTCTGATGACACATAAGATAGAAAAGTAGAAATAGTCGCTGTTGCATCACAATGGTTAAAATTCCCACTGTCTCCCTGAGCAGTTCGATTCTTTACACAGATGTTGCCTTGTGTGCAATAGTACATCCTTACCATCCCTATTGTGTGCAGTGCAGAATCACCTTAAAATGCTTTTCATGGTGAGCTCCTCCAGAGCTCCCGTCATCTGAGGTGCCCAGAATGTTGACAGATTGGTGGTATTTTAAAAAGCAGTGCAGAAGAAAGTGTTTTCTGGTGTTTCTTTCTTTCTTTTGGCATTAAGAAGACCTTGCACTGCCAACACTGTATGCACTAGCTATCAACCTAGCTGCCAGATGTATTATCCCCAGTACACTCCTCTCTCTCCCCCCGTTCTTCCTTTCTTCTCATTCTGCTGCTGCTTTGTCAGAGGGGTAGTGTCCTTTGGACATTTAGACATCAGGTGTTTTAGCCATGTTGCCAGTAACCAATCATGCAATAGTCTTCCTGCAAATATTAAACACAAAATGTTTCACAAAACAAACACATAAACAAAAAATAATATTACCCCCCCTCTCAGGTAATAAATACCAAGTAACTTCTGACTTTGTGATTGATAAAAACATTTAAAACCAATAGAGATCAATAAACAGAGGACTGAATAAAACAAGAATAAAAAAAAGAATAATAAAACAAAAGAATACAAAAACAAGAATAAAACAAATATATAATAAAAACATATCAATTAAAAGATCAATAAAAAAATGGGGTATTCAGTTGGCACTTTAAATATTACGTTCTCTGCCACCCTCAGGTCTTACATTTTTTTTGTAGTAGTAGTTATGACTGTAGATTTTGCCAGCCGAGATATTATTACTACATTTTACCACCTCTAGCTAGCCATCTGATTAGCTTAGGCAGAATCATTTCAAGGTCTCCCGCAGATGAAGTTTAGAACAAATTCACAGAGGTTGACTCAACAGTTCCATTGAGAATCCTGCTGAAAGGTGTTAAATACTGTGTTTGATGGTTTAAACTTGGTTTCATGCTTCATGATAGTGCCTGGTGATGATGCAAACAAATAGGCTAAAGCTACACAACCTAGGAAACAAATAAGCATCCTCATCTGAAGATACTGTAATCTGTATAGAAGTCACGAAATAAATGAACATTGTTCTGCTATTGCATTGTAGAGCTAGTTGTCTCTATACTGCATAAAGAAATGTAAGTTAAAAAAAGGCATTAGGAAACAGTTTTTCTTTGTAACACATTGCCGAAATGCATAATAAGTCACTCGACAAGGGTGAGGATGAGTGGATATCTTTTATGGATATCTTAACTACAAGATGTTAAAGCTGGGCAGGCATTGTTAATATGGAACATCATCAAAAAAGAAAATAACATTTTATAGTAATTCAGTTAGCAAAATGAATAGTAAAATGTATTTATAAAGCGCTTTTCACGGACATAGTCACAAAGTGCTTGACAAAGCATTAAAACATTATACAAATGAAGAAGAGTGCTAAAAACACAATACATTATGAAATACACAATCAAAACACAATAAACAAACAAAACACAATACACAATCAAAACATAAAGCTAGTAAGCCAACTAACTGAAAGAGTTCTGATAAGGCATAGATGTCATCATTGTGTATCGTATCCAACAGAAATGTTAACTTCACCACCTCCATCAAAGTTCAGGCAAGATCGTTAATCATAAACATTTAAAATAGTAGTGTTTCATGTGATGTGTTAGTGAGCCATTATTATTCTATAAGCAGTTTTTCATTACAAATGATATAAGTTCTACTATAATGTTTGACTATGGATGGATGGATGGATAAGCCAACTCAAATCTCAAATGAAATGCTGCTAAATATTCAATCAGTGCTACAGTAAACATAACTCTCCTGTCAGGCTGTGGACACAAACACAGCTTAACCTCACCACCTTAGTCTCTCCTGCACAGATAGATCTTATTGATAGCTCTCAGTTTAGGCCTTAGGCCTTATAGCTGCAATATGGGGGCAATACATGATTGTTCTGTAATTGATGATCATAAAATATATATTTGGATGTAGTGATACATGACGACACGGACTGTGAGTGTAACCTTGACCTGTCAACAGTTCAATGTGTTGACGTGTGTGTAAACGCTTTTATAGGCAAGGCTTGAGAGACTGCTATGGTAGGGTCTTGGACCATATTGAAAGGGATAGTGACACCAGTAGTGATGGTGTGTTAGAACATTTAGAACAGAAAGGCCACCCTCAGATGTGTGGTGCTGCAGGGAAGACACCTTGAACTGGGGTTCTTTTTCAGTTTTTTTACAGTTCTAAAATAATTAAGATTCTTACGTATCTACAGCCGTCTTTACCAAGATCATGTCAGATCAGTTTTTTGGTCTTCCTGAGGTAGGGACGTTTGTCTCTCTCTTTTTAAAGTCTCATTGTGGTTTATAATCCGCCCAATGATGGTAGTTGCATCGTCAGACTTCAAAACAGAGTTCTCAGAGAACTTCATCAGAATGGGGGTTACTGCCACAGGCAGGTTGTAATTCCCATAAGATACTGCAGTCTTTTGAGATATAGGGTTGATGGTGGCTTTCTTGGCACAATACAATATGCTGCGTAGTATGGTTAAATGTGATGGGAGATGATAGGGTGCTTTCTATTCTCTGAGCTAGGGGCCCCAGCAGAATTCAAACTGACAATCGTGAAAAAGGGCAACCCCGATGGCAGGATGTTCAATGGGAAATGTAATGGAGGTGTTATACCCTCTAACAATCACACAAGGGTTACAGTAAAGCACAAAGTGTTATTTTGATATATTCAGAGTTAAAGCCAAACTGCTCAAAAACCGTCTACAAGTAGTCCCAATGTAGACGATCAAAGGTGTTCTCAGCATCTACAGATTATTTATCTATGCTGTTGGATAAACCTTGATAACGCTGTTGTAAAGTTCTTACTATTGAAATGGACTAGGTTTAAATTGCAACAACACAAAGTATTAACCAGATTGATATGACACTTATCCACCCAGCATCTTGACCTTGGCATAAACAAGTTGGAGCAGCCTTGGGTAATTCTAATGACAAACAGATGGAGTAACTGCTTTATTGGAGGAGTGACTGTTCATGTTAGTTCTACTGTCAGATATTACACCTTATTTAAGAACTGCAGGGGACCTCTCCATGCTTTATACCCCCCCCCCCCCCCCCCCCCGCTCCCTTCCAGTACCTTACCTCCAACATCCCCTTCCTCCATTCCCTCATCCCTCCACCCTCTTCCTTCATTCTCTTGTCAATTGACCATATCCCACGTGTGTGTGTGTTCATTGTTATCTGTCTCTCTTGGTCTGCCGCTGCTGAGCACAGCAAGGACGGCAGACTCTGTTCGGACACAAGGTAAGAGCCTATAGTTTGTCCCCGACGCCAGTGGGACCACCGCTGTACAGAAAGGACTGCCTGCTGGAAGACGATGAGGAGGAAGTTGATTGGGATTGGGTTGATGATGATGATGAGGAGGAGGAGGAGGAGGAGGAGGAGGAGGAGGAGGAGGAGGAGGAGGAGGAGGAGGAGGAGGAGGAGGAGGAGGAGGAGGAAGAAGAAGAAGAAGAAGAAGAAGAAGAGGTGGAAGAACAAGCTCAGGGTCACACTCTGAAGGTGGCGATCAATGTGCCGGATGAGAGGAGGAGCCTGGTTAACGCATGTGAGCTTAACTCTGCCAGGCTCAAGCATTCCCGGATGTCTTTTTTTCTGTCCGGACTGCTGGTGATGGCCCTCACCATGCTGTGGGTGGCCTTCATTTAAAAGAACAATTAATGAGGAGATGTCAGAACATTTAATCTCAACCATCAAGAGACTGCTGATTCGTCACTCTATCTTAACGTCAACTTTCTATCTTACCTTTCTTACCCTTCATGGACTTCAGTTCATCTTAAAAGAGGCCAGACTCTAAAAACATTATTGTCTTTAAGCAAGCCTTTGTAACCTTTGTTGAACAGCGTCCACTGTTTCCTAAAGTGACAGCTTACACTTGATAAACTTCGCCCCATACTGTTCCTACTCCTATCAAGCTTTTTATGCTGATAATGGTGACAGATTAATCCGTGAAAATCATTTTTGAGATAGCTGTTCCTTTGCAGCAGAGCAACACATTACCTGAAATAACAACTGTCAGGCAGATTTTAGCTAACTATCTATAAAGCTGACGTGGTGACACCAAGAATATATACATAATGTATACATACCCAAGCAAAATGTCAGCATCTAAAACAATGAATACAGAAGACATAGATCAATGCTATTGTGTTTCATAGCAATACAAACATAACACACTCAGAAAAGCAACACAGTGGTTTGATTGATGTTAGCTAGCAAGAGGAAAGGTTGCTATGCTAAATTAGCAATATAATTGGACAGTTACCATTCAGCAACACCTTCAGCAACACAATCAGCAAAAGGTCAATTAAAATATAATGGTAAATGCATAACACATAAATACATTTGAAATTACTTGAGTTCATGCAGTATCCACCTGTGTTTGCTAATATTAGCTAACATTGTGCAACGTATGCTAATGTGCCTACCATAGCAAGTAAGACTTAAATAGCAAAATCCCTGCAGTTAATTAAGAGTTTATTCTTCAAGCTTTTTTAAGTGAACAAAGTGCTTTCTATGCAAAGGTTACATTGGCCAACTTTAAGAAGTAGAAGAAAAAAGCTAAATGTAATTTGTTTGCCTTCCAGTGTTGTAGTACTTGAAACCTGACCAAACAACCTTCACGTTTGCATTCTTCTGGACAAGGAAAAAGTTGTTATCAATTATCTTGACATTTCGGTTTTGCAGCCTCTGGACAATATTCAGTTATGTGACAAAAGTGAACAAAAATATTTAGTCCATCAGTAGGCCATATCTCTCAGAGTGTGTTAATAATCTGTGTGCAGTTTAGCAGAGTGACTGACATGCTTAGTCCTGTGTTAATGTTGGACCAAGTATCTGCTGACAATCAGGCCAAGTGTAATTTAAGAATCCATCAGTGGAGAAAAGGAATTACTCAGGAATGCATCACAGCAATTTTATACTTTTCCAGTAATATGTAGAGGAACAAATATTGATTTAGAAATGATTGGGCCAATGGTGAAGTCACATCTTTAATGTGGTACCAGGATGTTACTACAACAATGACATAATTAGCTTTGCTAACTGTTGGGCAACAACTGAGCTAACTCAATCTTTTCAATGTTATTCGGACATCATTCAGTAGGGCACAGTTTGGGTTTTGTGAACATAAAAATGGTTAGTTGCATGACAGTTGAAGGTATTTTTTGTTTGCCTAGCAACAATATGCAACTTTTCACTTTGGCACAGACAAGGCTTGTTGTTACCCTATCAAAAGTCCCATATTGGAGTCCGCATTTATAACAGCAACATTTCTGACTATTCAGTTCATTTGAATGGAATTACCACTATTCCCATAATTGAAGTGTGGATTTTACCAGCATGGCTGTGAAAAGGCTAATACAGTGGAGAAATTGGCCCAAGCTACATATAATGAACCAGACTGAAATACAAGCTGAAACTAATGAGGGGATAAAGTGTAGGTGTACACGATGACCTCCTGTGGTTGCAGGGCTGATGGGTAACAAGTGGAACTAATAAGGCCTGAACAGACAATTAAACAGGCGGGAAAAACAGATATAATACAGATAGTTAAAACTTCAAAGTAAAACATAACAGAAAAACCAAGATAATGATAAAGCAAGAACATTTTAAAACTGTCCGATATAAGTACAGTCAATATACTCCACGTTATTTGTATTTCATGTGCTCCCTATATTGTTTTAACTTTAACACATTTTGTTCAGACTGCAATGGAATTGAGTCGGTGGGGAATACTCAGTTTAACAACTAGGACTGAATATTAACCTGAATTCGATACTCGATACCGTATTGTGTCATTTGTGTTAACACCGTGTAGACCACTACTTGTAAGGTTTCAGCGTTAGAGTCTGTGAGCTTGATTGTGATCTCCTGTTCTGAATTGTTTGCACCTGTGCCTCATTAACTGTTGTGTATATGTAGCCCTGTTCTCCTGTTGTCTTTTGTTGGTTCGTCTTATCTTTTCGTCATGTCCATGCCTGTATACCATAGACCTGTTTTTGCACTACCTAGTAGAACCTAGAGATTCTTGGAGAGTCCTAGTAGATCCTAGAAGTTTATTGGAAAGCTTTGTATTCTTGAAAATAAAGAATATTACAAAGCAACGGAATCGAGCATCTGAGTTCTTACGAGCCCATCGTGTCAGAACCAACCAACCTAACAAGATGGACTCAGCCGATTCTGCAGCGTTAAGAACGGCCCTGCAGGCGCAGGGTACACTCCTTCACCAACATGAGGGACAGCTGTCAGCAATTAACCAAGGGGTCCAGGGTTTGACTGTTCGTCAAGACAACTTTCAAACTACTGTGTCAACGGAGATAAACCTACTGGCTGAGAAGATGCGGGAAGTACTCACTCACCTCGTGGCAAATCCTGGTGTTCCTGCGGCACAGTTTTCCGGTCCAGCGGGGGTCGGGTCTGCTGATATTCCCGTTCAAGTCCCCGTACATTCGCCTACGATCCGCCTCGCTTCGCCAGAGAAATTCTCCGGAGAATCTGGAAACTGTCGCCCTTTCCTAGTGCAGTGCGATCTCCACTTCAAACACCAGCCCGCAGCATTTCCCACCGATCAAGCTAAGATAGCTTTTATTGTTTCTCATCTGACGGGGAGAGCGGAAGCCTGGGCAACAGTGGAGTGGTCCCGGAAATCGCCTGTTTGTCAGTCATTAAGACTGTTTTTGGATACCATGAACAAGATTTTTGATCTGACATCACCCGGGAGAGAGTCAGCGAGAGCCCTGGTGAACATTAAGCAGCGGCAGAGGAGAGTGATGGATTACGCAATCGAGTTCCGTACTTTGGCAGCGGAGAATGGGTGGAACTCCGCGGCTCTCTTTGATGCCTTCCTGCATGGATTAGCAGATCCCATAAAGGATCAGTTGGCTCCATTACAGCTGCCTGAAGATGTGGACTCACTCATCGCCATGGCTATCCGGGTTGATCAACGTCTAGCTGAAAGAAATCGGGAGAAAGGAAAGAATACAGGATCCACTCCACCTTTCAGACAGGAATTACCGTGGGAATACTACGCTTGGCAGAGGAATTCCCAGTCGTCATCTCCAGAGCGACCAGCGCCCCCTATCGCCGCGGAGGAACAGATGCAGCTCGGTAGAGCCAGACTCACTCCGGAGGAGCGTCAGCGCCGTCTACGGGAGCGGCGATGCTTCTACTGCGGCCAGCAGGGCCATGTTTCGGCAGTCTGTTCGGGAAAAGATCAGGTTCATCAGCGGGAAGGAAGACGCTGGTGAGCCGAGTGACTTCCTTCGACTCTCCAGTCAGAAAGTGAATGCAGGTACAAATCAAACTTGGTGATAATACTATGACTCAGGATGCATTAGTCGATTCTGGGGCTGATGAGAGTTTGTTAGACTGGGAGTTGGCTAAAAGTTTAAACTTAAAGGTTGTTCTTTTAGATCAACCCTTAGAGGCTAGTGCTTTGGACGGCCGCCTTTTATGTACTATTACTCATCGCACTGAGCCCATGGTATTAGTCATAGATCAGGAACATCGTGAGCAAATAAGTTTTCATTTATTTAACTCTGCTCAACATCCTCTCATTTTGGGGTACCCTTGGCTTGTTAAACACAACCCTCACGTTGACTGGCAGACAGGAAGGGTTAAAGGGTGGGGAGTTGAGTGCTCTCGTTCATGTTTAACCAGTAAGACAGGGTTGAGTAAATGGCATAGATCTAGTAACCCTAAGCAGGGGTCAGACAATAACAGTGACACTTTTTCTAAGCCTTCTGACTTTCCTGATTTGGCTAAAGTTCCGGCGTGTTATTTAGACATCAAGGAGGTGTTTAATAAAACACGAGCTACTTCTTTGCCACCCCATAGACCGTACGATTGTCCCATAGACCTTCTGTCGGGCTCTACTATTCCCAAGGGACGGTTGTACTCACTTTCTGGGCCAGAAAGGGAGGCCATGAAGGAATATATCAATGCTTCACTCAAAGCTGGTTTGATTCGGACATCTTCATCCCCAGCAGCGGCAGGTTTCTTTTTCGTGGCGAAAAAGGACGGGACATTGAGGCCCTGTATTGACTACAGTCCGCTAAATCAGATCACAGTTAAGAACAGATATCCCCTTCCACTCATATCTACTGCATTCGATCTGTTACAGGGAGCCAAGATATTCACCAAGCTTGACTTAAGGAATGCTTATCACCTTGTGCGCATCCGGGAGGGGGATGAGTGGAAAACAGGTTTCAATACACCTACAGGACATTACGAATATTTGGTGATGCCTTTTGGACTTTGTAATGCACCTGCTGTTTTCCAAGCCCTCATTAATGATGTGTTAAGAGATTTCCTGAATATTTTCTGTTTTGTGTATCTCGATG